TTTCTGGCATGGATACATTGCCAACATTCACACCGCAACAGTCTCAGCAGCGTCCTAGCAGCATCCGTGGTCACGGCCACCGTCGGCATACTCGTAGAAACCGCAGAACAGTCGCTGTGCCTGTGCCTGGTAGCATGCGTGGCAATTTGGGTAGACGTCTCACACATTAAGAAACGAGATAGACTCGCTAAATCTGATTAAATAGTAAGTCAAATAATGAAGGATATAATGAAACAAAATAAATGTTAACATGCACAGACAACCAGTCGTGTGTATATGAACGGCTTTGCACCTCCCCCGTTACAGCAACGGTGTAGACTCTGTAGGGGACCGTTTAGACAATGGGTGTAATGAAGCCACCACCTGTTACGTGGAATACTCACCTCGACACAGAAGCACGGGCACACGCATGGAGGTACGCGGCCGGGAAAAACACAGATGGAAGCGACAAATTACGGAACGCGCATGACCAAGCTCGCAACCGCATCACCCATATGGAGAATGTTCGGTTGGCATTACTCAAAACAGAAGATGTCCTAACGACAGAGGACACCAAAACCCTGGAAAAACAAGATAAGATGTTATTGTCTGCGATGCGGCGGAAAAGTGACCTCATTGCGCAAATTGCCGTCATCAGGGAGAAGAGTGTTCGGGAACGGACGTATGATGAACATGTCATCATAAAGAACGCAGACAAGAGGGTTGAAACTGTCAGAGCACATAACCAGACTCCAGCTCGTAAAGAAGCCGCGAGGATGTGGGCAATTATCCCGGAAAACAAGGATAAGAGGATGGTATATAGACTGCTTCCCCACAACGTTGCGAAACAGAAATCACGGGATATTGAACGGGATTCAAATCACACAAAGGCGAGGATGGACAAGGCTTGGCAGTTTATAGAAGAACATGGTGTAGACGTCGGCAAACCGACATTATCAGACGAGATGGCGTTCCAATTCGTTCTCAAGCTTATCGACGACGTGGACTCCGTAGTGGGTAAAGCCATCTTTCACGCATTGGACGGTATGACGCTCAGGACTGCATTCTGGGAAGGCGCATCTTCCTCTGCGATGTACGCATTAATGTCCAGGGGTGACGCTACGTTGGGGGGTGGTAAGGCTGAGTCTCTTCGTTTCTTGTTAAGGAACAACCAGAACATACCGGTTCTAACACGGACGGATAACAATCAAAACTTCAAGTATATAGACGAAGACCGACAATTCCAGGATCTGCAGTTAATTTATATTCCAATCCGGGCGACAGACAATTATAGCGATATTTCTGTGCTAGAGTCGGCTTTTCAAATCTTGTTTGACTTCCTTCCGGTGGGGTCAAAGAGACTCTGGAAGATAAGTGGCGTGGGTCGAAGCACATTACCCCTTCGGAAATCTGACAAGCTATACATCACGAGAACTGGGGACAAAAAACTTCGATTCATGTTCGGGATAACCATTCTGAAAAATGTGAAGATCGTAGAAAGCACCACCGACGTCAACGGTAAACAAACTGTGTTGTCTATAACCGGTGGATTGGGCACAAAGTGTAACGTCAACCAAGGACTCAGACGCGCTCCCATCACCAGCGACTCACAAATGGCTGCATTGGTCAAGGCACAGGCAGCATTGCCTCCCAATTTCATGGACAGGATTGATTCGAAGAGAAAGGCCAATGTCCTTGACAAAGGACCCGTGTGAATGTGGTGTTGTGTGCGTTTGAGTAAAATTGTGTAAACTGCAAATGGGGCTCACTGCGTTTGGCCCGGGTAATGCTGGCAAAACACAGAGAATGTTAGTCACATGTGACAGTGTGCCGATCGTCTCAAACAAACACACTATATACAAACATTTCATGATTGTTTTCACCGACTTTTGCAATGTTACCCTGGCCTAGTGGTTTAACACCACGCCCATAAAAAGTCGAATCCAGTTGGCAGGGGTTCAATTCCCACCAACATCACCGGGCCCGTAGTTTAGTAGAAAAACATGGCTCTTATGAAGCCAAGCCCAGCGTGCAAATCGCTGCGGGCCTATTTGCCAGGTGAAATATACTTTTTTG